CAAGTCATATGAAAGCAGTTGTCCATATAGTCACAGCCCATGGCTTACACTTATTTTTTCAATGACGCCCTGGTCTTAGGAACATACTCCAAAAGATCTATAGATGAACAACAACAACAAAAAAGGTAAAACATTTAAACACTTCTCATATCACCAAGAAGAGTGTGATCAAAATAGTAGCAATGTCTATAGTAAAAACTCACATGGTTAAGTTTTTTTTTTTTAGAGTTTATTGAAAAACAAAGCTCTTCAACAAAGTTACTAGCAGCAAAACTTAAAGTATTCTAAAGTGTAAAGAATACTGAATGTGATTTAGATGTCTTCTAGCTTCAGCCACAAAACTCCTTAAAGATTTTTAATGACAATATATTAAAGCAATCAGAATCAGATTGTACTGTTAGACATTCCTGAATCTTATGGCCCAGATCAAGTAGTTTTTGAAAATGGTGCATTTCTGTTTTTAAATATAGGAGAAGTCAAAGCAAAGTAATTCATTAAGAAATAGAGAAAAACATTTTTTGGCAATGTATCCATGGCAACTCTGTATATACCTACAGATCTAAGAATGAAAGACAGGAATGTATGTGGCACTGTTACTCCATTTTGTTTGCTTAAAAAAAAAAGGTGGCACAGTGTGAGATATTTTCACCTGTTACAGAACACAAACTGGGATCTGTGGATAAAAGTTAATGTGACAGATACCTTTTAACAAGTACACAAGAAATTAGACATCCACATGAGTACTGTTGCTTTCAAAATAATCAACTTCTTGAGTTACAAATTTATAGAAATCCTGCCACCAAATACTGAACATATTTTGTCTTCTGGAAAATCAGTATTTTTACCTTTTTCCCTAAATAAAAACTAAGATGCATGGATAATAAGTTTTAATCAGAAATATAGAGGCCATAAAAATCTCATTATAAAGACATAGGTACTCATCAACTCTTAATTTCTGACCAATAATCTACAATTAAGGCTGGGGTGGCCTTCCTCCGCCACTCTGCACATACTTAGACAAGACTTTCTCCTCTGGGTGCCCACATTAATATACTCAACGAACGAAAACACATTGTAAGACTAAACAAATTATCAGGAAGGCAAATCTGTTATTCAAGTAACGTACATTACAAATTAAGTTCTTAAGAAATTTTCAAGAATTTGCTTTATTAATCCTCACCACTCTTCCCTCTCAATTGCCAAGAGCTGCTTGTATATTTTATTTGCAATGGTGAAAACAGAATCCTACCGACTAAAGTCTGACCAAATCCACACCTATGTCACATTCTGGACCTTTGCCCAAAATATATGTCTGGCCATAGCATTTTAAAAAAGTTAGGAATAAAAGTCCTCTATTTCACACCAAGGAAGTCTGATAACAAGTAGAATCTTAGGAATTCTCAAACAAACTAGTGAACACACTAGTAAACAGTCGAGGGAAGTCATCTTTTTGATGTTTTGAGGCTCTCCTGGAAACTCAGTGATTGGGAGATGTTGATAGGGGTAGTTTCGATGACATGCTGAGGGTAGACGCAATATGATAATGAAGAGAAAAACAGGAAGTTTGGTCTCCTCTTTCCACAAGTTTACCTGAGAAAAGTCAAAGGAAATAGTTAAAAAAAAAAAGTGAGTATGCTTGTTTTGCTGAGGGTTAGAAAGAGTGGAGGGACAGCCAAAAGGTCTAGGAGAGTCAGGATATGTCAGAGCGGCCAGAAGACCTAGGAGGTGGTAAAATACAGAGAACGGGTCCTTGGTGAAGTTAGCCATTGATGGGAAGAATATCTTTCACTTGGACCAAAAGGCGACAAAGACTAAAAGCCAGAAAATTCTGGCACTAAGGTTCAAGAGAGTGTTGAGATGGTGGAATAAAGGGCTTGGGAGTCATGAGAAAGTCTGGAGAAAAAGAGAGAGGAAAGAGATCTAGGAGTGAAATGAATGAGTGGTGGAGAGCACTAAGCTCTGCTGAGAACTGAGAAAAACCAGCGTGTACGTGAGTATTTGTTCAGTGCACTGCCAGACAGTGCCAGACTAGTGTTACAGAAACAGCACTCATCTGCAGGTATTCACCAGACATCTGTAAAAAAGTCTTTATGTGAAAGCCAAGATGGTGGCCGCCCCCTACAAGCCAAAAGGCCTCAGAATGAAAACTACTTTGCCAGCATCTTGATCTTGGACTTTCAAGCCTTCCGTAACTGTGAGAAATAAACTTCTGTTGTTTAAACCACTCAGTCTATGGTATTTTGTTATGGCATCTTGGGCTAAGAAAAAAACTCTCACAATTAATACACTAGGAAAGAGAATGAATTTACGAAACAAGAATGGAAGGCTATAAAAAGGGAGATCGGAAAACAAGAATGACCTTTTGGAAATTAAAAATGTGATTGTTGATACATGTTCAGAAAAGTGCCAGAGATAAAATTGAGGAAATTCTCCTAGAAAGTTAAAAGGCAAAGAGATAGAAAACAGGAGAGAAAGATAAGAAAAACAGAAGACCAATGTTAAAATTCCAGAAATAAATAACAGGGGGGAAAAGTGGCAATTATTAACAGAAATAATATAAGAATTTACCAGAACTGAAGAAAATTAGTCTGTTACCATGAAGGCCTGTCAAAAGCTAAACAGAGATCCTCACCAAGGCATTTCATGGTAAACTTTCAGCACAAAAGCTCTAGAGAGGCAGAAAAATGGGTTACATATAAAGGTGTTATCAGAAATGGCAAGTTTTAAGACAGCGAAGCAGGGACTTCAGAATTCTCAAGGAAAATGATTTCCAATCTAAAATCCTTCATTATCAATTAAATGAGACATTTTCAGATGTAAGTTCTTAAAAATCTTACCTATAATGCACCCCTCTCAGGACACTCATGAAAGATGTTCTTCTCCAAAATGAGGAACAAACAAAGGATCTAACTCACAAGGAAAGTGAAATTGAGTTTCAGATGTCAGAGTGGCAGAAGGCCTCGAGAGCAAGAATCCAAACTGTAGCCCAATCAAGTTCCAGGAAAGAAGAAGGAACTGTCATAATCTAAGACAATAATTCTATAGAAAATAGTCTTCAGAGGGCCTTTGTGGTGAGTTTGGAATAACTCAGTGATAGGAACATAGAAAGTTTCAAACGAAACAAAAAGACAAAAGTTAACAACAGGAAAAGCAAAGAGTTGTACAAGACATGACATGTAATGATAATAAATTACTTGACTCAAGCGAACAACACTCCCCAAAAGTCGTAAGGTAAAAACTGACCACTAATGGAATAAAACATTGCCACTTTTCTTAATTGGGAGACTAGAGGAAGTAGAAATGGGAGAACGGGATGGTTTAACAGTAACCAAATTCTCAACTGTTATAATACGAAGTTTCTAGATAAAGTAAAATATTGAACTGTTAAGAAATACCTGTGTACATACATAATTTAGAAATGTGAAGATTAATGCATGCTAAAAACAGCTCCAAGTTAGAAGCAGATGCCTCTGTGGAGCAGACCTCTGTGGTGAGGAAGTTTACAGCTGGGGACTGGCACCCTTTATTATGACTCCTTTAAGATTATTTGAATTTTTAATCTATGTACATTACATTGTTAAAAACCTTAAACAACTAGGCTTAAAAAAGGCCTTTCCCTTCATTGTTCTACTCCTCCTCCTCTTTTGAAAGATAAAATCTGTTAAATAATTTGCATAAAAAATAATTCCCCAGTCTAAAAAAAGCCACAAATATCAAAGTAGTAGTAAAGCATGTATTAATCTCCTACAAATGGTGCTTTTCAAATCAATTGTCCAGGAGTTTCTGAACTTTTCTTAGGCAAATGTTTTGAGCATTTGCTTTAGTTCAAAGAAATATAAATGTTAGAATAGCACTGAACAGTTTTATAGTGTAACAAATATACTTTAAGCAGTCATTGCCTACAGACTGCACCCCAGGTTATAAAATGTCTAATTTTGTTTTTTCATGGTGAACTCTATATAATTCAGGTTATAAAATGTCTAATTTTGTTTTTTCAAGGTGAACTCTATATAATTTCATGGTGAACTCTATATAATTCTATATGTTCTTCATGTCAGGATATCCAGTATTCAAATTAAATGCACATAATAAAGTAATGCCTTAAAGTATTGCACTTTCAAAGATATTTAGTGCATTTAACACAGAAATTCTAGTAAGATTCTTACTACTTCAGTTAAGTAAGCATTAACAGTTTCAGGTTACTGAAGGTATTCCAACAGATCAGAAGTATTGTCCTGGGTCTGAAAGCCAGAACATTTTGAATAAACTTTCTGAACCTGATTAAAAGAGGGAAGGCTCATGCTTATTACTCTTAAATTTCTGAAAATCTTTCCAATTTGGAGCTTTGTAATACATTCAAAATGGTGCCATGACATGTTTAAAAAACATTTATTTTTAAAAATACTAGAATGTTCTCTGAAAACCTATTGCATTTACTTTTTAAGCTATTCTGATCTAAAGGAAGAATTAAAGTTTAGGAAAAGAAAAAAATGAACATTAAAAAAAAGTTTATTTCTAGCCCTGAAAGAACAAAATTATTGAACAAGGTCATCAAATACAGCAGTTAATGTCAATGTAACAATTAAATAATTGAATGGGATTAAATTAAAAATAAAAGTCAATATAAAATTTGAAGACAAAACAGAAAAGACAAGTTACTTTCACTTAATTCCATTTACCAAAAAAAAAAAAAAAGCAAGATAGTCCTACCAAAGATGTTCAATTCCAAATATAGTTCTCTGTTTAATATAGAATGGAAATGTGTTTGACAGAATTATCATAATTTCTTTTTCTCTCATTTGGCAACATTCTAGAATGGTGAATGAGAAAGACTTCAGTTCACTCAAAGCCAGGCCAGTGCTTGGTTCTCCTCTGTAATTCCCACAGTATCTACCACCACAGGGTCTCTGCCCAAGTGGTCAACAAACGTGTTAGTGAAGAATAAAATCTGTGTGTGTGTATTTTTTCCTTTCTTACACATACTCATATACATGCACTGTGGAAAAACTGACTTTAATTATCTATTGTGGGAGCAGTTGAGATAAGGAAGACAATCTGCTTTTTATATTACTATGAAATTTCACTATTAAAAAACCCCGAGTATTAATCTGTATTTTACTATATTCTATAAATGATTTTGACAGTTCACTGGATATGGATCTCAGTATATTTTTAAACTTTTACTTTCAGATTAAAAAACATACACATTTTTAAAGCACCCATTTTTTTTCTAATTATAGCTACTGCCTGATCAGATCTAAAATTATTCTGACTAGAATACAGTAATATATAAACAAACATGTATTTATGTGAGCCCTACAAAGAAATACTCATAGGTAGTTTTAAATTGCTTATTAAAGGCACCGGTTCATTCAGGACTGGTGGTAACTAGACACATTTTAAGCAGCTTAATATTTATATGTTGAGGGAAAGAGAATTGATACTACATGCCATGCACTCAACACATGAAGACAGAGTTGTTTTAGCCTTGGTTTCTTATGCTAGTACAATCCCTCTACTTGTTCACTATTCTAGGTGGGATAAAATGTTCGATAGTTTCATGGTTTCCCAGTTTTAACTGTCCCTAAAAGCAGCAAAAGGAACAAGAGGCGAAGGAAACTTTTAGACTGCCAGAGAGTCTGAAATACAATAAATACTATAAGTAATACTGTCCTAATAATACAAGAGGACTACTAAGGTAACTTAGATTTCAAAAGGAATTTTCTTTCTCAAGTAATGACAAAAAGGGTGAATAGAAAAGGCAGTTATTTAAAAAAACATGAATTTTGATTCAAATATAATTTTTCTTGCAACAAGATCTGACCATTTTAATTTAAAATTAATAAATCACAATTCTGTATTGCTTTTAAGATTAAGATTATTAAAAACTGACACATTTCGGTATTAACCAAAGCATATTTCTATTACAAGTTAGTTTATCCAAGTAAGTAAATAAACCACAGTGTAGCTCCCTTAACCTAGGAGTCAGGTTTTAATGACAAAAGTCCGTTGCCAGCAATGGACATACAGTAACCATCAAAGAAGCTGTAAATACAAATTCCAAACTGCTTCTATAAACTGAAAAGACCTTTGATGAGTCACAGGCATAAAAATGGAGCATTGGCACTGCATTTAATGAATACAGTCTTTATGACTTATGTATGGAAGTGCCTTCTAGAGTGGTCATAATGATCAGTCTTACATCATCTAGTTGATTTTCTATTTCATTGGTTGCATCTTCTTCATCATAATCCATCCAGACAACTATTTACAAAGAATGTTCAAATCTGGAACTCAAGAGACACTGTAGCTTTCCACCAGAAATAAACCAGCTTGTTTCTGTAATTTAGTAACAGCTGTAGAAGGCCAATATAATCCAGAGAAAAATGAAGTCAATAATCAAACTGAAAAGAGACCATTAAGTGCTCTAGATTTAAGTTTCATTAATTATTTTACTCATTTTTGTGAAAACCTTCCTGCATTATCAATAAAAAACCAGCCACTTCTATCCTTTTACCTATATCCTAACACAGATATGATGGGAATGACAGGAAATAAAACTCTATTAGTTCTCCTAATGTACTCCAAAACATCAAAACTATTTCTATTCATGATTTGTACTATTGCAGGATGGCAGGTAGGTGTGAAATCAACTAGAAGTGAACGGTGGGAACAACTGCCAGAACCAAACCACAGACTCTTTTACATGGCTCCTGGCATGTCAGAACAGACAATGCTGCCTCCATCAGTCAAAACAATTTAAAAAAATGAGAGAAAAAGAGAGAAAGTCTTGAAGAGGAGAGGAGGAAAGGGGAGAAGAGAGGGCACTCTAATAATGCTATAGGTCACAGACCTTTTTAAAATCTTTAAAATAAAAAGTATTGCCATCAACAAGTACATTTCATTTTCCTTCCTTTCCCCAGTTTTTTACATGAATATTATTTACTTATTTGAAAAAATCTAAAGTAACTCAACATTTCAAATGACCCATGAATTTATCAAAATGTATTTTGTCACTTAAGTTCTCATAGACAGTAATTTTTTGGTAATGGGTGGGAAACAACGTTTATAACAAATCTCTACAGTTACTGGTCAGAAGCTGCATATCTATATAACTGACATTTCTCTTTCATGAATATAATCTTATCTAATTATTTTAGAGCTCACCAAGATTTAAGTCTCCCTCTTTGTCTCTGCTAGCTCCAAATATTTTTCTCCTTTAAATGGAAAAAAAAAGTTAACTTTATTCTGAAAATTCAATGGTTATTATATTATTTACCATGGGAAGGGGGGAGGAGTAGAGTGAGAGAGGGTTAATTAAAAAACAAACTAGCTAAAATTACAACATATACAGAAACTTATTTCCAAAATGAAGGGAAAAAAGAGGGAAGGGGAAAGTAGCGGCACAAAGTCCTGAAGCCAAATCTGAAGAGGACATAGTCAGAAGGGAAAACAAAACTGTAAGAAGGTATAATCAATGGGATTCTTTTTCTGCCTCAATGATTTAGTTATAAATATAGATTATTAATCTTCTCTCTATACATGTAACAAATGCCAAACAGCTCACTACCATGAAATTTCTAAAATTGACCCTTTCACATTTGTTAAAAAAGGTAAAAATCACATACTTTTCTTCCCTTCCTTCAGTTCAAATTCTGAACTGAAATAGTACGTGTAACAATAGCTGGTCCTAACTTCTATACAAAGTTAAACCTATTATAGGGCTCCTTTGCCAATATAAGGAGCTACATAATTTCTATCACACTTGCCTCTAGTTTAGGCATAAGAAAGATTTCTCAAAACAACTCAAAAGGAGCAAGTCAAGGAAAAAGGAAGCTATGAGAGAGGAAAGAAGACTAGCAGATGAAACAAATACTCTGAAAAACTCAAATCTGCCATTCAAGTATTGAAAATACCCTCAAAGGGACAATGAATGGGCTCTATTTTAATGAAGTCAGCAAATTAAAATGCAAATCTCAAGCATGATACATGGCCCTGATGGGCTTTCTGCTGAAAGACGTAAGGCTAGTGATTCAGTCCACAAGTCCTTTTGGACCCTAAAGAAGGGATTCAATAGAAAGTTGTCATTCGGTTTTGCCATTTTTCTCTTGGTTGTCTTCAGAAAGTAGTAGTTTGCTTTTATTCCTCCATGTTATGCAGACCATTTCTTTAAACCCCCAAAGAGTAATAATTTTCATATATTAAAAGACTTCTTTTAGAAAATGGAAAAAAGAATTGAGGCCACTGCAATGATGTTAACGGTTACTCTTCATTGCTTCTTTAGCTGCCATGATCAGTGGTGTCAAGCTGGATAATGGTTTGGCCAGTTTCAGGAAGGGATGCTGCCAGAAGAGGTGAAAAATAAAATGTGTAAATGTCACCAATTTAGAAGCTAAATATTTCCTTTCAATTAAGCCCTAAAGACTACTTTACGGATCACAATTTATTTAATAAACACATATTTCAATACCTATGTAAAATCAACATAATTGATATATAACTTTCATGGTTGAAAGCATAGTCTTTTTTAGTTTTTTTAATACTGTAAAATCTCAGTTAAATGACCCAGATAACTATGCCAGCAATGAACTGGTGTGAGAACTGATCATAAGCAAAAATTCATCTACTTATGTATTACAGCATTGTGGGTATTTTATTCCCAGTAGAGAAAATCCTGAACTGCAGCAGCTGCCATGCTGCTGGTAATGAATGAACAGTGAAATGTAATTATTAACACCACATAAATTTTTTGTTGGTTACTCAACAAAGTCAACTTTTTCCAGAAATAGTATCATTTCCAGATTCACCTGTAACAATTCTTTGGCTGAACCTCTTTTCTCCACATCCATCTCCAAACATCGATTTAAGAAATCCCGAAATATTGGGGAAAGTTTTTCTGGATTCTGAAGTTCTGGGGTTCCATTAGTTGCTATCAGGTATAAGGCCTAAAAATAGAAGAACAACTTTCACATACTTAAGGTAGCTCAACAAAGTGAGAGAGCACTTTAAAGTTTATGGATTTTTTTTCCCACTTCTTTAAAGGTAATTGCCATACATACTTAAGAGAGGTTATTATTTCTACCCATTTTGATTAAATATTTTTCCCTTTATTTTTAGATGTTACATTTCCCTGACTTCTTTTTCAAAATTAACTTTACTTGTTTTTTTGGATTATAAATGCAATACATACTGATACAAAAACTACTATAATACATAAGAGTATAAAGAAAAATGACCACAACCCCACCATCAACATACAGTATCCCATTTATCTTTCTTAGATTTCTTTCAAGTCATACCACATTTCAGAACAATAGGATTTGTTGAAACCTTTTTTAAAAAAATTAAATTAGCTATATCTATACAGCTACAGATGAAAAAGATGAGCATATAGGATCTTTAAGGCAGTGCAAGTACTTTTTAATATACTTTAATAATGGGACACATGTTATTCATTATACATTTGTCCAAACCCATAGACTATATGACATCAATACTACTCAGCCATAAAAAGGAATAAAATGTTGCAGCAACATGGATTGACTTGGAGGGCATTATGCTAAGTGAAGTAAATCAGACAGAGAAAGACAAATACTGTATGATGTCACGTCTATGTGGAATCTAAATAATACAACAAACTAGTGAATAAAACAAAAAAGAAGCAGACTCAGATATAAAGAACAAACTAGAGGTTACCAGTGGGGAGAGTAAAGTGGAGAAGGGTAATAAAGGGGTAGGAGAAAAAAAAGTGAACTCTAATGTTAACTATGGACTCTGGATGATACTGATGTGTCAATGTAGGCTCACTGATTCCAAGAAATGTACCCTCTGGTTAGGAATGTTGGTAATTGGGGAGGTTATGCACATGTGGGGGAAGAGGGCATATGGGAAATCTCTGTACCTTCCTCTCAATTTTGCTGTGAATGTACAACTGCTTTTTAAAAAAACCAAAGTCTTAAAAACTCCAAACAAAGCTAGCCTCATACATTACTAATAACAGATTAGATCAATTAAATTATTTTAATGGCTGAATTGAATAGTGCCTTATATGGATGTGCCATAATTTAGTTAATCCCTTTTGGAAAATCCTTGCATTCTTTAGTATTCTTCATGTACTTCTCTGATTTTAAATTCCTAGAAATTAAATAATAATTTTTAAAAAAGCACTCAGCAGACTTTTCTGGAAGTTTTAGACATACAGAAAATTGAGCAAATAGTACAGAGCTCCCATATACCAACCCTCTCCAACACACACAGTTTCCCCTATTATTAAAACCTTATATTACTATGGTACACTTGTTATAAGTGATCAGCCAATACTGGTACACTTTCATTAAACAGAAGTCTATAGGGGGACTGTATAGCTCAAGTAGTAGAGTGCATGCTTGGCATTCACAAGGTCCTGGATTCAATTCCCAGTACATCCTCTAAAAATAAATATAAACCTAATTCCTCCACCCTCACAAAAAAAAAACCAAAAACAAACCTAGAAGTCTATAGTTTACATTAGGGTTCACGCTTTATATTGTGCAGGTCTATGGGTTTAGACAAATGTTTACTGTCATGTATCTATCTCCATTATAGTATTATACAGAATAATTTCACTGTCCTAAAATTCCCCGCGCTCCACCTATTCATCCTCGCTACCCCACTAAGCCCCTAGCAACCAATGATCTTTTTTTACTCTCCACAGTTGGAATTATACATTATGTACCCTTTTCAGATGGATTCTTTCCTAAGCAGTAAGCATTTAAGGTTCTTCCACATCTTTTGTGGTTTGATAGCTCATACCTTTTTATCTTTTTAATGTCATGGAATAATATTCCATCATATGGATGCACTACAGTCTATTTCATTCACTTTAAAAAGTATAATATATTGGGGAGGAGTATAGCTTAGTGGTAGAGTGCATGCTTAACATGCATGAGGTCTTGGGTTCAATCCCGAGTACCTCCATTAAAAAAGTATTTTTAATTAAAAAATAAATTAAAAAGACAATATATTTATATATTTCATATCTTGGCTGCTTCCAATTTTGGGAAATTATGAATAAAGATGTTATAAACATTATGTGCAGGTTTTTATGCAGACATAAGTTTTCAACTTTAACAAGAACACAATCCTAGACTGTATGATAAGAACATGTCTAGTTTTGTAGGAAAGTGCCAAATTGTCTTCCAAAGCAGCTGTACCATTTTGTATTCTCATCAGCATGAATGAGAGCTCCACATCCTCACTAGCATTTGGTATTTCAGCTTTTCTGGATTTTAGGCCATTCTAATAGATACGTAGTGGCTTTCTTTCTTTCTTTTTTTTAAAGCCAAACTCATTAAAAAAATTTTTTTGAGGGGGATTAAGTTTGTTTGTTTATTTATTTATTTAAATGGAGATACTGGGGACGGAACCCAGGACTTCATGCATGCTGAGCATGCACTGTACCATTGAGCTATATCCTCCCCCTGCAGTGGCATTTCATTGCTGTTTTACTTTAGCAATTCCCTAATGACACGATGTTGAACATCTTTTTATGTGCTTATTTGCCATCTGTGTATCTTCTTTGGTGAGCTGTCTGTTCAAATCTTTTGCCATTTTTACATTAAGTTATCTTTCTTATTGTTGAATTTTAAGAGTTCTTTGCATATTTTGAATAACATTTCTTTATCAGATAGGTGTTTTGGAAATATTTTCTCTTGATATGTGACTTGTCATTTCATTCTCTTAATAATGTTTTCCTAGAGAAAGTGAGTCCAATTTTAATGAAGCCCAGTTTATTATTTCATGGATAATGCTTTTGATAATGTATCTAAAAACACTGCTGACCCCTAGGTCACCTAGATATTTTACTGAATTATTTAAAGGTTCTGCCACATTACCATAATGCCATCAAAAAAGGCTACCAATTGACACTCAAATCATCAGTATATTATTGTGCCCATTTCCTTGTCACCTAAGTTCACTTCTCTTTACATGACATTTTCTCCCAAATTTTCATTTAAAAATTCTATTCTAAAAAGTTATCTCTGACATAGCAATTAATATCAATTTAAGATCATAAGATTGTTCTGAGTTTCCACACTTCCATCAAAAGGGATTAGGGGGTAAGCCCATAAAGACAGACATTTGTGCCAAGTACTCCTCCTCTCTAGGCACTTAATAACCTTTTCTCTACTTGGGGATAAATCTTATTATACTGTTTATCCTCATTTATGTTAGTGATTTAAGGAGCCGTGGACTCCTGGTCATTCCCTCAGCTTCTCCATTCGAACACCCATGTGGTTCGGCACATTCCCCCTTCTGGCCTGAATTTCTTCATACAACCACTCCCCCTTCCCCTTCAACATTTGGTTACACTTCTTGTCCTTTGGCCTACCTCAGCCACACACACCCAAGGTCATACCCTATGCCTTTATCAATACCAATAACTGCAACTCTTAAATCTCAGTTGTGCTCCACCTCCTACCTTTTCACTCCTAGTACCCCAATGCCAGCAATTCTTTGACACCAATGGATTTAAGTAAATCCTGACTGATCTCGAGTGTCGAGCATTCCTTTCACATAATCACTTCTTTGATCCTTTTACCCTTCACAGCACTCATTTGTCTACTCTTTGCCTCTCTACCTGTGCAGCTAAGTATGGTGGAAGAAGAAGATACATCCCTGCTGACTGGCATCACTAACCTCACAGGGGCCCTTCAGGCTTCCAGCACTCACAGTAGATTTCCCTATTTCACTGGCTCCTGTTTCTGTTCCAGGACATTTAGTTGTCATGTCTTCTAAGGCTCCTCTCGGCTATAACAAATTTTTCAGACTTTCCTTTCCTTTTGATGAAATTGATAGTTTGGAGGAGTAATGGTCAGGTGTTATATTGTACAATGCCTCTCTATTGGAATTTTTATGATTTTTTTCTATGATTAGACTGAGATTATGGGTTTTGGGGAAGAAGATCAGAGTTACAGTGCCATTTTCAATACAAACTCTTTACCTAACACATTCAACCCATAACCCAGAAGCAAATGATTTTTAGATGCAGAGTGAGGACAGAGACTAGATTTTATCAACTTTGTATCCTAAATACTTGGCCAGTGCCTGGCACAAGCAGGTTATAAATAAATGTTTTAAAGAAAATTATTTTTCATAAAATAAGGCTGCTGTTTAATTGGTCTTACCCTCAAGGGATTTTCATTGAGGTATGGAGGCTCTCCTTCTACCATCTCAATAGCCATAATACCCAGAGACCATATGTCCACTTTAGGGCCATAAGCTTTCCGTGTAACCACCTCTGGTGCCATCCAGTATGGCGTTCCAACCATAGTACTTCGCTTGCTCTGCTCAGGGGTGATTTGAGCACAGAAACCAAAGTCAGCTATAAAACAAAACAAAACATCTTAAGTTAATGGTGTCCATGGATTGTTTTATCTAAGAGTTCACTTCATATGACTTAACTAATTACATTTATAAATTCGGCCTCTTATTTTTTTTTTGGCCTCTTATTTTTAAAGAATGCATTAATAAAGTAAACCAAAATGGGCTTAAGAATATTCTGATGATGTTATGTATTCTCACTTTTCAACTTGTACTTCCCACAAGTAGAGGGGAGATTATCAGGAGGCCTTTTATTCTAGACAAATCTACCCTAAAAGTTTTAATAAAGTTAAAAAAGTTCTAAAAGAAAAAGTCACCAAAAGTGGACAGCAAACTGTGTCAACTGTGGATCAGGCAAAGGTCAGAGAGTGGGAACTACTTCTGAAGGAAATAAACAGAAGTTAGAATCAATAACTCTGACTCAGCAGACAGCCTAGGAAAAGAACACAATTAGCTGCAACTGTACCTACAAGGTCTCAACCAGCATTACTCTAGTCCGTCCACCTCATTTTGTAAATGTGGGACAGAATGCCTAATTTAGTACTCAGTGTTAATTTAGTGGAAAAGTCAAGCTGAGAATCTAGAATTTTTTCCTTCCTTCTACTGTTAAACCCATTCTACTCCATACATAACACTCTTAACATTTAGGTTTGTAAGGTTTACACTTTCTGTTATGCATTTACAAATGTACAAATAATATCCATGAACTGCCTGGTTTATTTAACCTAATTAGGATATTTTGTAAGCTGCTTTTTAAAACCTAATTTATTTTTAGAGATCTCTGTAATTAGAAGAATTATTCTAACTACACAACTTTACAGAACATAAAAACACCGTAATTTATTTAACCATTTCTGTACTACTGGACATTTAAGATATTGTTGGGTTTTCTTTACACTGTTGCAGAGAACAGCTTTGTACTTATTGTGGTGCATTTATGTTCAGTAATTCTACAAGAGAGAGTCCTAGAAGGGCAACTGTTAGTCCAGATCATAACATTTACAGCTAAAACGAGTATTTATAACTGTTTCAAGTACCTCATAAGAATTAACATACCTCGTGATAACTTTATGAGACAGGTATGTTTATTATTATTATAATTCCCATTTTATAAATGGGGAAACTGGCATACATATTTTTAGATAACTTACCCAAGATCATTCATCCAGTAAGTGGCAGGGCCAGGATAAAATATTATTCAAAAAAGTCAAATTTAGTTTATCTGTGTATCACCAAAAATGTCTGAGAATGTTAATTTCTAGCTTTCTCACTAAAATTACAAATAGTAATCATATATATTGACCATCTGATAGAACTTAAATCTCCTTTTTTGTGGTTGAATAACCTTTGGAGGATCTATCTTAAAAAAAAAAAAAAGTTGAAAAAGGAGCCAAACAAGAAAAAGTTTTTGGTCTCCTGATCAAAGAAATGCCTCGAATTCTGCACAGTTGGAGAAACCTCAGTAGTAGCTCTTTTTGAATCCTCTAGAGGGCATGGATGGAACTGAGATTAGAGCCAGCAGAGAGAAAGGGTTTTTTTCCCCCTGACTCCACCATATCTGATACAGAAGATAATTAGGGAAAGACGTTTACACATTTATTTTTTTAAAACGTATCATCTCTGATGCAGGGTCATACAGCCTCCCCCAATCAGGCCACATGCTACCAGCAAAGAAAGAAGAACAGCATAATGAGAAAAATCTACCCCAATAGTGGCAGAGACAAATCCAAGTTTATGTTAGAAGACAGCACCAACATTACAGCAGTCCCGGGGCTGTTCCTCAGTTTTTTACATTTTTAATCCTCAGAAGAATTCTCTGAGATAGGTGGTATTATTTTCCTTATCACACAAATGAGAAAATGAACACAATGATTATGGAACTCATTCAAAATTATTCAGCAAGTTGTAGTGGATCTGATATTTAGAATCAAGCTGTCCAGCTGAGAGTTCATTTTTTTTTTAACCGCTATTCTCTCTCCTCCATCCATTTACTGTCATAAAAATATTAACAGCAGAAGAGGGATTTTACTTAAACAAAAGGTAGAAAATTGTAAGTAACACATAAATGTTATTTGTTTATTTGTTACTTACTGAGTTTAACTGATCCTTCCATGCCCAAAAGCACATTGTCACTTTTGATGTCTCTGTGGATCACTTGATTAGCATGTAAAAACTCCAATGCCTGTAAACACTGAGCATGAGAAAAACACCTATCAATGAAACAGTCCCTGAAAAGTCTAAGGGAAGTTCACATACACTACTTATGGCCTGGGCACTGCCTCTAGTATCCAGCAGAAGATACTCTAATACATACATTTACAAAGAAAACAACCCTCTCATGTGCAAAGTTATCAAAATAAAATTCCTTAATCAGATTCTCCTCTTCCCATCCTCTGATCTTACCCAGAGATAATTATTAATGTCATATCTAGTCCTATGTCAGACACAGATTATTGAAAACCATAAGAATATCATTCAATCTTCAATGTGTCATTTATGAAATGATGGGTGGGTTTACATGATTTCTAGGCCTATTAGGTTTAAACGCCTAAAGGTATGCAGCACTTGGTAAACATACACAAGGCCTTTTAGAAATCATTTAGTAAAGGATAAACTTCTGATCATTCCCATTTGAATTTAAGATACTCAGAAATCTAATCAACGCAAGCCATTGGGTGGTCTGGTTCTCCCCAGTTACTGAATGTGACGTACAATGTTTTCTTCCTTTTTTCCTATGGTAGGTTTTACATAAAGCTACATCCACACCCTAGACACCAATGAAGAAAGAATAACTTTTCTCTTATGCCATATTTTAAAAAGCACTGAGTCAAAAGTGCAGCAAAACTATCTTACTTCCTTACAAACAAGAATGAGATTAAATTTTAAAAATCTGCTTGCTATGTTTTTAATGTAACCTGAGTATAAACTGGAAGCTGGAAAAAGTTGTGTTTTTATTTCTTACCCCCATTAAAGTAGAACAAATAGTCTGTACATCATTAATAACAACTAAAAAATCTCATTCAAAATACTCCAATATTCAAAGAAAAAAATCAGATTAACAGTGTATTACTGTACTACATTTACCAAGCATTTAAGCAGATTCCCAAAAAGAAGAAACCCCAGAAGAATAATTGAATTAAAAAAAAAACTATCACAATTAGAGGAACTCCTAAAATAATTTTACATGAACTATGAAAAAAAATGAAAAACAAATTAAGTATAAATAGATAATTCTTACTAAGTTTTTATTAGCTTTTAAGTGACCAGACATTCTTTGTTAAGGGATAGTATTAAACTATCATATTCATAACTATTAAAAAGTTCTTATTTCCTTTTCTCCTGAAACAACCAGGAGGTAGAGCATAATTATCCTAGGGTTAAAATTTTCAAAGAAACTTTTTTAAGAAATACCTAATAAAAGCTGAAAAAGAGAAAAAATCATATATACTGTTCCTATATAAACAAAGTTCATAATTTACTTATAATTCACTGTAAAAATTCACAGACAGATCATAGGGAACATAATAATTGTAAGAACACCTATAATTTTGTCCCTTGTGACAATGGTTCCTAGGATATTTGAAGAAAGTAGTGTCACAATTTTAATGACAATAAGCAAGTCATTAACCTAAGTCTAATCTGTAGGAAAAGATTAGATGGAAGAAGGACAGGCAATTTGGCAGAATTCTACTGGTTTAAACAAACAGTAGGTCTAGAAATTCATTTAATGAATATCATCTCACTGATCACCTTCAATGAGCTCAATAAAGCCAGAAATAGACTAATTAATACTTAAGGTAAAGATATGTACCACCCTGTTCTTGTGTCCACTGTTGAGTGGTATATTTTTAATGGCACCCCCCTTCTCACTCTTGAAAAGTACCCTGCTTAGATAATAAATTATAGTGATCATCCCACTGAAATTTACTGGTGAGCTGGGCTTTTCAAAGGTGCATGATTCATTCCAGAATTATCCTATACATGAAGGAAAGGATTGAAACTCTCCTGTAGCATGAACTGATATGAAGATAACTTGTAGAAGGTTTGTACAAAGTATCTCATACAATGAATGTAACCTGCACAAAAAAACTTTCCCTTTTTCCTTCACCTCCTGTTAACCATATATTACCATAATTTATCAAAAAGTGAGCACACTCACCTCTCTGCATACAGCAGCAATCTGTGCCTCATCCATGCAGGTTTCTGTTACAACATCAGTTAGTGATCCCCCAGCGAGGTACTCCATTACCACAAACAATTCATCTCCCACCAGGTAACTAAAAAAAGAACATACAAAATACATCCACATTTTTACTTTTTTTTAAAACACATGTCACTCTGTGTTGAAGAACTTAAATACTAGGCACCTTAATTAAAAAACCAGAAAGCTGGTAGCTTTGATAGCTAGGAAAGAAACTGAAAAGCTTCTATGTAACAGCACAGAAAAATAACCGAGAGTCATTATGATTTTCCTGAATCACTTTAAAGTTTGCCCATAATTGTAACTTGAGTGTGTATATAGATTATTTCAATTAAAATAATCCTATAAGGTAGGAACTATCAGTCCTCTTTTACAGATGAAGAGATAGAGCCTTGGAAAGGCTAAGTAACTCATTCAAGGTCACGTAGCCATTAGGTGACAGAACTAGAATCTGAAGCCAGGTATAGCTGATTCCAAAGCTTATGGCTTATCTTAACCACCATGTTTTACTGACTTGAAACACTATTTTAAAAAGTGGGGAAATGTATCTGGAAAGTTTAATTCTATGAACGTGGTCCCCAAAGTTAGCATTAAAGTCTAAAACTGTGTTTTCTTTTAACCCATTCAAAATAAATTTAAATATGGGAAATAAATAAACCACCTATAATCCTCTATCTCCAATACAATCACTACCATAATTTTCATTTATTTTTCTACTATTCTTCTTTCACTTATATACATGTAACTGCTTAAAAAAAGTTGTAAGATACATAATTTTCTATTGTTTTTTGTTTTGCTATTTAACATCAATTCCTAAATTAAATGAGGTTTTGATAGACATACTACTTGCCCATGAAAGACAAAATGTGAAATAAAAATTGGCCTGAAAGTTTAAAAACTGTGTGGCCAGTCACCTTTGTCATTCAAGGCACGAATCACAGCCAACCTTTCCTTAATGTTTCTGCTTCTGATCATTTGTAATTAATATGACCATCAACAGTAATGTCCTTCATTTAACTGCCTTCTCTTGCTTGCCAAGTGATATCTATGTAGAAAAAGGACCTTCCAAACTGTAATATGCTATTTTACCTCTCCTCCATCTTCAAGTTTATTTTTCAGTATTGACATTCGACTCTAGCCTAACTAAAGTGGCTAGTCCCCAAACCCATGAGATGTAAAATTTCTACTTTTTCTCCCAGTGTTTAAGAAATATTTATATTTACCTGTCCAGGAAGTTAACTATGTTAGGATTCTTTAATTCTTTCATCACCAGGATCTCATTAATGATCAATTCTTTCTTTGGCTGCTTCTGTAAATTAATCTGTTTGATAGCAACCTATGATGGAAACAGAAAAAAAAAATGAGAACCAGTTTCCCAATTCTCTTAGAAAATTTACAAACACCAATCAGTTAATCATTTAATTTATTATATACATATCATACAATAAGATGATAATTTACTCACAGGCAGTACTTTTACTTCCACACTGCCTATGCACAATGCTTTGTAGTACAAAGAGCCTAAATATTTTTAGATTTCTCTTGAAGCTGATTAACCAACCCAAGGTCAGCCCAGTGCCAGGAATTAATCTTTTCATCCTAATCTAGGAAAATAATTTTTAAAATATTTTTTAACATATGAAACTAAACACATAATTACTTCTTTTTTTCCCTCTACTAAGGGAAGTGCTATAAAATTGTGTAGGCTAATTCTTTCAACATATTCAACTGAAAAAGAGATTCCTACTGATTATTCACAGACATATCTAGTTTCTCCCTATATTAAAAGCCAATGGTAAAAAAAAAAAAAAAAAAAAAAGCTAATGGTAACACCGAGAAGAATGAGAAAGTACCTACCTCTTGTCCCAATGCTACATCAGTAGCAGTGAAAACTGTGCCGGAAGCCCTAGGGAAAAAAGACATAACCAGATTTAGGGTTTCTAAATCACTCATTTATGGCATTCAAAGATTTTATGCTTAGAACAACTGAAAAGGGATTAAAGAACATTTAAAACTGAACATCTTTAAAAGAAGTAAAAGTAAAGGGGGGAAAAATGAGAAAAAGAAGCAATCTCTGTGGCCAAAACTTATGTTAAAAATTTGTCATAAATTTCAGACCTCTAAAAAATACAATAAAAAGATAAAGAAAAGAAAAAAAAAAGTAACATATACTCATGGATCCACTTCCCTACTTAAGAAACAAAAAACTACAAATAAATTTGAAGGTTCTTGTCTACCCTTTCCAAAAGCATCCTCCCTCATCCCAAAAGTAATCGGTATTGGGTATTAATTCTGTATTTGATGTGCATCATTTCCATGTATTTCTCTATATTTTAACTATCAAGGACATAGGTATGTACTACTATAGAAAATATTTAACATAATTACAATTTCATAGAAATGGTTTCATTTTATATATTTTCCTGTTATTTGTTTTTTAACTCAACACTGATTTCAGATGGTCATCCATATGAACAGGTGTTATTCTTGTTCATTCATAATTATTGTATACCTTACTCAGTATACTGTAGTTTATCTATTATCATGTTCAAGATTATTAACATGATTTTCAATTTTTTATTATTAAAACTAGCATTGTAATTGAATTTGGTTTTTTAAAAAAAAATTCGTAAGTAAGTTTTTAAAAAAAGACTTAAGCTCACTTTTTAAACTCACAGAACACTTTCCAGAGGTTAATAACATTAAAAACTCAAGATGTTCATTTGCCCCCAAGTACCAGGAAAAAAGAGTTCAGTTAGTATAGTTTAAAAATACAAATTTCTGAAAAAAATCAGATCAGTAGAACTAAAGATCCATACTCAGTGATGTGATTAAAATGCAGGGCTGTATTTTTTTTTAAGTGTAATCTTGTTGTAAATTTTCTTTCTGTTTTTTAAGTATTTGCTGGACAATTTCCCCACCCATCTAATCTCTTACCACCAGTGGAAAATAACACTTAAGAAGAAATGTTGTATAATCATTGCAAAGCAGTACAGCATTTTAATAGCATCTAGAAATAAATGCATTGCTTATTTACACAAATCCAGGGAAACCACTCTTGAATATCATAAGTGCTCAATGTCAGGCAAACGAGATGTCATGCTGGACACCTAGGAAATAATGAATATTCTGGGAATATAATCACAAATACTTACCCTTGCCCAATTTTTTCATATCTTGTATATTTTTTCTTAGGGTCACCTATGCTTACAATAGTTCCTATTTCAAACAGAAAACAACAGAAAGTTAGAATCTAAGTCAAGAATTTTAAAATTGTAAACAAATTCTGGTTACTATTTCTTTTAATAAACTCCACTGATTTTAGAACAGTAGTTTTCAAACACAACACTAAGTTTCAAAAGTAATATATGTTTCAAACACAAACACTAAAGAAACAAGTAATATAAGTAAAAAAAAGTATCAGAAACAAGAGGATAAATTATTTCCATAAGGCTAGACCTCCTAATTAATGTCTTGATTATCATTTTCTTAAAAATGACTCCTTTTTAGAATGACTAATTGTACTAGTTTTCCAGAGACTAAGGGGGTTTTCAGGATGTGGAATGTTCAGTCTTAAAATTGGGAAATTCCTGGGGAAATGACAAGTTTGGCATCTTACTTTTTAGACTCCACTGAAATGTATTAAACTAATGATAAGTTATGAAACTACTTACTATGAAAAAATAAATGTATACAATATCCAAATGAAAAACCCTAAATGGCTTTTCTAACTCTTCTTATATACCTTCTATTGTCCAACATATTTAGGAAACGACTTATTACTATAATGGTTACTCTGATGTGAAACACACACAAACCAATCATTTATCTATTTTAGGAAAGTTCACAAAGTCACAACTAAGAAAGGTTTTAAAATTATGTTGTTGTACATAAAAGCATAGCTTATATTCTTATTACTAGTAGGTCAAAACATGAGAAACCCACACTAAATTTTCACTTAAACTTTTACAAGGTGAAAGGAGAGAGGAGCATATTTCAGAAATTCACAGAAATAATCCAGTTTTACGTAAGTACCCAACCTCAAGCCTACAACCAATACATAGTATTTTTCCTTGATCCCTCTACGTCAGTGTCCTTTGTGACTATAGTTGCTGTATAGTTGTAAAGAGACATTATTGCTCCTTTTCTTTGCACTGTGTGTATTGTTTCCAGTGCTTGATCCAGGCAATAATAGCTGACAGATGAAAAGGGAGAAGAGGGAAAAAAAACATTTTATGCTCACGCATATATCTATATAGGCCATTTTGTATTCTCATATTGAGAACTATGGGTGTGCATAAATATACACAAACTTCCTTTGATAAAGTTTCCAACTATGACCTTTAAATTTGGCCCTTTGGGAAAAAGTATTACTCCCCAAAGTAATGATTTGCAAAGATGCTGCTTACCAGTCAGCATATAATAATAAACAAGCAAAGAAGAGTATTATTTTAGCTTTACTACATTTTAATTAAAGCTGTTGTTCCTAGAAGAAAATAATTTATAATTTATAAGCCAAAATCTAAGATATAAATTAAAATCCATCTGGGCCCAATGTCTCAAGAGATGTTAGCAATTTAAGAATAATGTGAAATGTAGGTAACATACTTAATTTCTCCATAATCTCTTCGTCTGTCATTTTGGCCTTCTTTTTCTGTTTGTCTGAAGACTTGGCACCACTATCAACATTAGAATCGCCAACTGGTGCAGGAATAGGATCAATAACAGACCGTGTATAAATCTGCAGAGAAACAGTTAATTACTGAGGCTTGAGGAAAAAATATTTTTAGGTATTCTTACTTGCACACCATTAAGTTCTCTCATTTTTGACAAAAACTAAGTTGTCTCTGGTATTATAAAGAATGAGAGTTAATATTTTCAGACTTGTCTTATAAAAGACTGGTAACTAAGAGGAATAAATGTGAGACATTTTTCTTTGGCACATCATGTATATATTTTAAAAGTCTGTCTAACAAAACAGCAGATTCTTGAACGAAATGATAGTGTTAACCAGATCTAAAATTATATGATAACAATGAAGCAAAAAGAAATTCAAGTTTAAAAATCACGTTTTCCCTACAAGAGAGAAATAAAGAGCAAAAATAGTGGAAACCTTGATGTTGAAATAACTATTATTAATTCCCACAAAATACTCACACAAATATAATTTCCACCATTTCATTGCAAACAGCCAGTTCTAGGTGGTAAAGAAGACAGAGCTCTCTATCATTAGGTGAGGAGCCAATGGCAGTCCCTAGAGCCTTCCCTGCCTACCGTGCCAACACTTCGTCATACTCCATTGACTTTATTTGTATTAGTACAGGGAGAGGGACAGGACTCTTTCTGTCCCTGTCTGAAGTTATTATTAAAATTTCCCATATTTGTTAGAAACTTCACTCTTAGCAGCCTCCTGAATGACACCAAGGCTTTGAGAGAAATGTACAATCGAAGATAAAATACATACTTTGGGAAAGAGGTAAGATATAGTTTTAGATATAGTAGTTATCTGGACTGAGACAAGCAGAGAAAAGGCAGATAAACAGATGAGTTCTCTGGAAGAGATGGTATAATAGAGAAAGAGAAAACAATGAGATAGGTATTTTAACTTTTAAAGAAGCCATTCGATTTTAATTTTCAAAACACTAGATTTTTGATGAGTGGTGTTTAGGTAAAGATCAAACTTCCCATTCTAAAATATTTTAAGCCTGAAGGTTTTTAAAATTAATCACTGGAAGTAAAATAAAGACCTCTGTTTTTAAAAACATACATGCATACACATACAACCCAATTCACTAATCAGAAACTCACTGATTTTGTATGATCTGGTCGTGGGGCAATAACAGGAGGAGCGGTCTCTTCATCATCGTCATCTTCCTCTGCTACTACTGCTGACGTCTCCGATCCCTTGGTGTTCAGCTGCATTTATCACATGAGTGAAGTAAGGAAGACAAGTCAAATATAACAATACGTTAAAATATCACTTTCTTTTTTTTAAAACATACTTGAAAAAGTATTTCTTTAATAGCTCATTTTAAAATGGTAAAACCTCACAGGTTCTAATCTAATCACTTGAAAAAGTAAAGGTGACTCTATACACTATAGAAAAGTAAATTCATAAAATAAATGTATACAGTAAATACCAAGTATTCTTTAAGAGGGAATTTATACGCTTTATAGAGAATTGTATACCCTTTAAACAAGCCCCAAAAGTAAACAATCCCTTCATTTGTTAAGACCAAAACCAAAAATCCTCTGGGCTTTGTGTAAGTCAGAGTCATTTTCAGTTATTATTTTGTTGGGGGGAGTGGGGAGTGGGTAGGTAATTAGGTTTTTATTTACTTTATTATTTATTTTGATGGAGGTACTGGGGATTGAACCCAGGACCTTGTGCATGCTAAGCACGCACTCTACCACTGAGCTATAACCTCCCTCCCCATTTTCAGTTATTTAAAACACTCAGATTCACCAAAAAAAGTGGCGGCTAGTGAAGGAAAAGAGGAAGGCATTATCCTTTATACCAAGCTTATTATATGCCAGGTGTGTGCTAGCTGTGTACTTTATATGTTATTACATTTAGTCTTCAAATAACTTCAGGAGACCATGTCCTCCTAATTGAGGAATTGAAAATAAAACAGTGACTGCAGGAGGTATTTGTGCTTACATGAAAACATAAGAGTTTCAAACAACTCTGAAGATTTTGACAGACTTCTACTACTGTTCAGTGTATTTCCACAGTCTATATTCAGTAGAATGGGGCCAGAGGATAATGCTGGCAAGTTCTTTGCATTCATGTTTATATATGGAAATATTATTAAAAGTAGCTAAACTGCTCTAAAGATCATAAGCTTTAGTTACTTTAAGCATCATCTGAGGAAATTCTATTTGTTTAATATAGCTTCCTCAACTAATCAAGTGGCTAGCTAAAAACAAACATTAAGTGGTTATTTCTGGTGGCTGTAATTTATTTTAGAAAGTAAAATAAAAACTAGATTTGTTTGGGTAACTTAAATTAGGACAAGAGCTGTAAGATATAACATATTAACTTACTGCTGGTGTTCCAGAAGTGAAGCCATCTTTCTCTGAATACAAAACAGAAAATAATGCTAAGTTAACAATTCAAAAAAATAAAACAATTTCTATACAACGAAAGAAAGAAAAGATAAAGCAGAACAAGTAAAATGTTCTTAGGCTGATTTCGTTTTAAGTTGAATTACGTCTTGAGAAAAATAGTATCAGTATTCAAATAAAAATTTATGTAAGATTGTGCTAACAAGCCTCAAATCTTAATGGAACTCTATAAATTTGCTAAAAATCATTGAATTGTACACTTCAAGTGGGTGAATTTTATAGCTGTTAAAAGTTTACTTGAAAATGTACCTGTCAATCTGCATTTATTAAAATAAATCAGAAGTTTCTTCACAATGATATTTTTTCCACCAAACTGCTTATCGAAGAACTTAAAGCAACTGATCATTTGGACCAAGTAACTATGTAAAAGGAAAATTATTGACAAAAATTTTGATCAATATGAAAGCAAACCCCTGAAGGCAAAACACAGTTCATGAAGACTAAATATGAAAATATTCATTCTGGAGTTTAGAAGAGCAAGTTTTGTTGTTTTACTTTTTAAAATGCCCCCATCTCAACACATATATGAACATATATATATATATATATATATATATATATATATATATATATGAATATAAATATACCATTTTCTGTTTAAACATTTGGTTTTAAAAAAGATTATCAATTTACACACTTGACTAGTTGACAAAATTTCTAGGGACAAATCTGACCTTTTGCTAAAGATGTACCAGATTACATAAAAAAGGTCAAGATTATTTGCCAAGTGGTCTCTATTTCTTCCTTTGACACACCCTTTATTTCTGCAAGGATGCAATCAGGTAAGTACAACTAATTAAAACTACATGTATAATTTTAGCTCAATCATACTGTTTTTTAAGAACTACATGTATGACTTGAGGGGACAGAGAAACATAAAATGACAATCTGGGATGTAATTAGCAAAATCCACCCTGAGGGAGACAGGACAAATGATCCTGTTTCCTTAACAAATAAGTTGCAAGAAAAAGAGGCCTGAGAACCAGTGTGAGGGAGGGGAAGCCTAAATATCCAAAGAGGTTCAAGACATACAGTACTCCACTGTAATGTGTGGACTTTATTCTGATCCTTACTTGAACGAGTAAGCTTAAAAAACCCACTATTCTCCAATTCTTACCTAATGATATTCCAATTCTTTTAGTTCTAATGCTTATTTTATGTTTTTATATTAGATGAGTTTCAATTTTTGAGGAGACAAAAATTTTTTTTTTACTTCAAAGTCTGTGTTTATATACAGTAAAACATCCAAAACATCCCTCCTCCTGTCCCACTAACAATAACGTTTCTAGTATGAGCATGCCTATAAATTAGGCTCTTTCCCTTCTATTGCTGGAACTCATCCAAAAACTGTGAAGAGGGAAAACAAATAAAAGGCAAAAAAAATCCATTTTGGCAAAACAAAGAGATTAATATAATCCCCAAACTCCAAATTATGCATAAGAGCTGCTCCAATCAGTTTACAAAAGGTAAATCTATGCAGGGGGAAAAGCAGAGACAACTACCATAGCTCAGCTTTTTATTTAAGCAATCTTTTTATCTAGAAGTGCTCCACAACTCTGCAGTCCTCTTTAAGTCAATCTTTTACCACGGTCTGGTATCTTACCAGGAGGAGTAAAGCTCAGATATTTCTGCTTCACTGTGTTGGAGTCATAGAACTTTAAGACATCCAGCACGGCCTGAGGATTCTTCTTTTGCTCTAGTTTGGTGATATTGGAGGTCTGTAATAATCGAGCCCACTGTTCTGGCATGCCCTAACAAAAAGATATTCAGAAATTAGTTGTTTTGAATTGCTCCAATAAGATCAATTTCCAGAGCTAAGTGACAAAATATATAAAATAAATCAATCTACACAATTGTAAATTCTAAAAAGTCTAGTTTTCTGAATCTATTTTGCATAATTATAAGCAACAGGCCCAGCTCCCTCGGAAAAGAATACATCCAACCACAAACACTTTTATAAGAAGAGAAAAGCACTAAGAATTCAGAGGTAATATGTGGATACAAAAGTTAACTTCAAACTTAATACTGAAAGGAGGTCTGAATGCTGCTTTATAAATGAGTCCCAAATAGTTAAACTTACAGTGAATTCTCCAGTAACAGCATCAAAGCCAACATGGATGGTGTGCTCAAAATCAGATGGAGGAGAAATTTCTGGCCTTTCCTTCTCTTTCTTCTTACTTCCTAGAGGGCATTAAAAAAAGAGCCTATTTAAACAAGATTATTTAAATAAAGATTAGTAAACATACCCTTCTTCTCTTGTAATGTCTTTGGTACATGAGTAATGCTGGCCTCATAAAAGTGACTTGAGAAATATTCCTTCCTATTCAATTTTCTAGAATTTTATATAGAATTGGTAATATTTCTTCCTCAAATGTTTGGTAAAATTCACTGATGAAGCCATTTGAGTCTGCTACTTTCTTTGTGGGAAGGCCAGTAACTATAAACTAAACTTTCCTAATTTAGGGTTTTCAGGTTACCTATTTTTCTTTGAGTGAGCTTTGAAAACCTGAGTCTTTCAAGAAATTTTTCCAGTTTATCTAATTTGTTGAACTTATTTGTATGTATTTGTTCATAATATTACCGTATCTTTTTAATATCTGTAAAATCTACAGAGATGCCATCTCTGTCATTCTCAACATTGGCAATTTGTGTCTTCCCTGCCTCCCTACCATCCCATCAGTCTTGGTAAAAGTTTGTCTATTTTACTGATATTCGCAACAAATCAGCTTTTGGTTTCATTGATTTTTCTGTATTTTTAAAAAATTTCACTGATTTTTCACTTTGAATTATTTTTTTCTTTTCATCTGCTTACGTTGGATCTCGCCTGCTCTTCTCTTCTAGTGTAGTAAAATAGCTTAGCTAAAATCATGGATTTGATCTCTCTTTTCTTTTCTAATATGGACATTTAAAACTATAAAGTTCCTCTAAGTACTGTGTTAGCAGCATCATAGATACTGATGTCCTGAATTTTCATTTTCATTCATTTCATACTGTATTTCCCAAATATCCTCTTAATTTCTTCATTTATTTGGAAGTATTTTTATTTATTTTCCAAATATTTCCAGAGATCTTTCCACTGATTTCTAACTTAATTACATTGTTGTCACAGAATATATACTTTGTGACTTGAATCTTCCTAAAATTCATTGAGACTTTAAAAAATCGTCCCAGAATATGATGTCTTAGTAAACATTCCGTGTTCACTTAAAAAGAATAGAGTATTCTTCTATAAATGTCAATTGATCAAGATGGTTGTTAGTTTTAGCAATTTTTTGTCTACTTGTTCTAACAATTACTGCAACCAGTGTACTGCAATCTGCAACTATCATTGTATATTTCTTCCTGAAATTCTGTTTTTGCTTTGTGTATCTTGAAGCTTTGTTATTAAGTGCATAAATATTTAGTTCTGCTATACCGTCTGGTATATGAAATAACTTATTCCTTATCCCTTAACTATTTAAAGGAGAACTTCTTGCTCTAAAATCTACTTTTTCTGATAATAACCTAGCCAGTCCAGGTGTCTTTTTTAGCATACTTCTAAAAAGTATTTTATTTTAACCTATTTTATGGCTTTATATTTGTTAAGTGGATTTCTTACAGGAAGTATATATTTAGGTCTGGTTTAGCAATCTGATTGATACAGTTGGGTTTAAACCGATCATCCTATTTACATTTGTTTTCTAATGACATCTATTCTTCATTTCAGCTTCCCTTTTTTTTTCTTAACTACGTATTAACTACCTCTCTGCATACCATAAAGTTCACCTGTTTTAAATTGGACAATCCAATGGGTTTTAGTACATTTATAGAATTATGCATTTAGTACATTTACAGAGTCACTACAACATAACTCTGGGACATTTTCATCATCCCCAAAAGAAACCTCCTTGTACCCATTAGCAATCACTTCCAGTTGCTCCCTCTGCTCCTCCCTCAGCTCTAAACAACTACTAATCTACTTTCTGTCTCCACAGATTTGCTTAATCTGGCCATTTCACATAAATGGTATCATATAACATGTGGTCTTTTGTAAATGGCTCTTTTCACTTAGTTTAATTTTTGAGGTTTATCCATGTGACAGCACGTATCAGTGCTTCATTTCTTAAAAACTAAATTATCATTTAAGAGATTTAGATAAGAAAAAACATTTACCATTTCCAGTGATTTTCATTTCTTTATGTAGATCCACACCTCCATCTGACATCATTTCCTTTCAGCCTGAAGGATTTAGTTTAACCATTTCTTACAATGCAGCTGTACTGGTGTAACTTCTTCCAGCTTATGTTAAAAAAAAGTTCTGTTTTTCCTTCATTTTTGACGCATATTTTCAAAGGATATAGAATTTTAACCTGACAATTTTTTTTAATTTAAAGTTTTTATTTTTTGAAAAATTTTTTTAAAATTTAAGTGCTTTAAAGATGTTGATCCTTGTTTTCTGGCTGCATTGTCACTTACATAAAGTCTTGTCATTTTTTTCCTCTATATGTAATGTGTCTTTTCTTTCTGACAGCTTTTATTTTTTGGTTTATAACACTAAGTATTTTTTTAAAACAGACTATTTTTTTGAGCAGTTTTAGGTTCACAGAAAACTGAGTGTAAGATCTGGACATTTTTAAGATTTTCTCTCTATCACTGGTTTGATTATGTGCTTTGGGGTAGTGTTCATCATGTTTCCTATGCTCAGAACCCATTAAATTTCTTCAATCTGTGGGTTTATAGTTTCCATTAAATTTCGGGAAAAAAATCAGCCATTTTTTTAAAGGTTGTTTTTTTCTTTTAAAGTATTTTTTTAGTGTCTTCCATCCCTTCCTTTGGAGACTTCAGTTACACTTACATTAGTCTGCCTGAAGTTGTCCCACAGCTGTTTACTTTTTTTGTGTGTGTATGTGTGTATATATATATATATTTATTTATTGAAGTATAGTCAGTTTACAATGTTGTGTCAGTTTCTGGTGTACAGCATAATGCTTCAGTCATACATGAACATACATATATTTGTTTTCATATTCTTTTTCACTATAAGTTACTATAAGATTTTGAATATAGTTCCCTGTGCTATACAGTATGAACTTGTTGTTTAGCTATTTTATATATATTAGTATCTGCAAATATCGAACTCCCAATTTATCCCTTCTCAGCCCCTTCCTCTTCTGGTAACCGTAAGTTTGTTTTATATGTCTGTTCACTTTTGTTTAAGCCTTTTTTTCTCTAAGATTCATTTTGGATGGTTTCTATTGCCATGGTCTTCAAATTCACTGATCTTTTATTCTGTAATGTCTAATCTACTGTTAGTGCTGTCCAGTGTATTTTCCAACTCCAGAATTTTTATTTTATTTCCTTTTTATATCTTCCTTACCTTCTTCTTAATGTGCTGAATCTTTCCTTTGGGGTCTTCAACATGCAGGATACAGTCATTTAACTATTTTAATGTCCATGCCTACTAATTCTATCATCTGTGTCACTTTCAGGTTGATTCCAGTTGATGGATTTTACTCATTATGGGTCTTTGAATGCCTGGATAATATTGACTGGATACCAGGCACTGAAATTTTTGTATTCCTAAAAATATTTGTGAACTTCTGGGACATAGAAAGGTGATTCTCAGCTGTCTACTCATATAGGAGAGAAACAATTTTAGAAACAGTTGATCCTTTTAGGTATTATTTTTTAAACTTTCTAAAAAAAATTTTTTTTTTTGTTAGGCAGGACTGAAGCAGCATTTAATCTAGGGCTAATTCTGTCCCACTAGTGAGGCAAGACCTCTATCCAATGTTTTGTTCTCTTAATACTGGGAACAGGAAATATTCTGGGCCTTGTGTAAGCTTTAAGGGCTGTTCCCTCTAATAATTTCCAGTGTTGTTTTTTTTTTTCCTCCAGCTTTGGGAAGTTTCCTCACATGGATGTGCTACTGAAGACTCAAAGGGGACTCTCTGCAGATCTTTCTCTCTCTTTCCATTCAACTCTTCACTCTCTGGTACTCTGACTACAAACTAGCAGCCTTGGCATCCCCCAATTCCCAGCCCTGTTTTTCAACTTTAGGAGACCACTCAATTGTCCCTCCCTATGCTGGAAACTCTTCAAGCAACAGTGGGATCAACTGTAGGACTCATCTCATTTGTTCCCCATCTCTTAGGGATCACTTTCCTTTAGTCTGATGTCCAACATCTTCAAAACTGCTGTTTCGCATATTTTTTCCCCAGTGCTTTAGTTTTCTTAAGTGGCGAAGTAAATCTGTTCTCTGTTACTCCATCCTGATTGGAAGTATAATAGATTTTGCTGTCTTATCTCTGGTATAATGAAATTTCAGGATGATGTGATTCACTGTGTTGAGTGCTCTGTGAGCTCCTTCCACCTGGAAATCATATTCTTCAGATCTGGGAGGTTTTTTCCCTATTATTTGATTATTTTTCTTTGTTCTTATCAGTTAGATCAATTCGTTTTGGTCTGATCTTGTAACAGTTAACTTTTTCTCTCATATTTTCCATCTTTGTATTTTTAACAGTCTAGGGAAATTTTCTTAACTGTCTTCCAATCCTTTGCCTATTGAAATCTTTTGTTTTTGTTGGTAATCTTAAATGTTGATATTCTAATAATTATTTCTCATTGTTGTCTGATCTTTTTTCCTGAGAATACTTTTCTTGTTTCATGGATGCACTTTATCTCTTCTCTTTGAAGATTATATAGTTTATGTGTGTGTAGTGGCTGGGTTTTTCCCCCTATTTCTTCTTCATTCCTTTTTTATCCTCCGTTGTTTCGGACTCTCTAATGTTAAAGGTTTTTCTCAAACATCTGGTGATCCTTTGCTGTCTACTCATACAGAAAAGTATTAAAAAGTTAACTGGGAGATAAGTCAGCCTTGTCATTAAAGATGGGGATAGGGTGTGGGGTATCTAAGATATTTTTTCCCAGGACATTCTGTTTATCCAGAGAAAAACCTTTCAATCACTTGTCTGAGGGCTTTGACCCAAGGTACAAGTGCTCTAAAAGCAGGACATTAGAAAGGAGTTCAGTATGTTAACTTTTTTGAATCTGCCTTTTTTTTATTATGGTGCTACACCTTTTTCTGACTCCCCTGACAAGAATAAGGAGCTTCTCAGATTTAGTTCTCCTGAAATAAACATAAATAACATTTTTTTCTTTTGTTCTCCCAAAGGATGGGAATTATATTTGCAAGGCTATGG